CTGGCAGAAGGTTCGGCAGATTGAAATGAACGCCTTCGGTGGTGGCCGGGGACAAATGAAGGTTGATTGTGGTTGTCGGTATGGGAACCAGTGAGCGAGAGGGCCTGGACAAATTTAATGGGGCCTACGTAAGACCGCTCCTTGAATGCTCCAAGTCGTGTACTCGGAATGCACGAAAGACGTCGTTCTTTTCTATCTTGTCAAACGAGTCGTCACGAAAATGGCTGCTGGCCTCAAATCCGTTGACTAAGGAACGCATCTCACAGTGCTTGACCTCATTCCTAGGAGTATCTTCATCTCAACATGCACCTGTTAATTACTTATTTCCTCCTTGAACAATATCTGGCCAACAAGTTATCAAAACTGACCCAGCAAACACACGATGGATACACGGTGAGGAGATTTTCAGGCCCAGAATGCACACATTTATTGGCAAAATTTTCCTCAATTCGGGTAGTAGCTGCGTGGAATGACATTCCTCCGACGGTTGTCCATTCTCCTTCTAGAACCCAGTTCAATGCACTACTGTGCGAATCCTCGCCCTGGCAAACATACTATCACCTTTTAGGTCGATCATCTGCCTGAAATCCCTAAGAAGATCTATTGAGCCCTCGGTTTTGAAAATCCTGTCCAAGGAGCTTTAAAGTGTTGATCCGAATTTGTATTTGAAAACGGTTGCCCTTGCACTCAAACGCGTCTTTGATGAACATGGACTTCAAGGTTTTCGAGGATATTGATTACTTGGGAAGCTACCAAAGCACGATACAAGGCTTCATTATTCTGAGAATGTTCACACTGAAAACTGTATTTACATGATGTTATTCAGCAGGTATATGAAGCAGAACAAACTTTCCTATTTCTGCGTAACACGAATCTCAGTGTTAGACAGGCACACCATCCACAGTCACTGAGTAGTTCAGGTCCACCTGCGAACTTTCTTCCTCTCTCAAGACAGGCACGGTGGAAATCAGATCCCGCTCTTGTGACGTCATGCCATCAAAGTTATGTCACGTCGAAGAGGAACGAATTCCTACAGCACTTTTAAATCAGGAATAAACTCGGGTACCATTTTTTGTTGTCATATTCTGCTGGGGCATATTAACACGGCTAAACGGGTTCGGCCGAACAGAGTTCACAATCCAACTGGGCCAACATCATCAACGCGGGAATAAAAAACGGACAAAAGCCTCGTTATCATCGTGGTAACACTAGGGAATCTGCAACGCTGAAATTGTAATTATCACCTCTCTGCCTTTTGGCAGTTTAGCCACGCAATAACCTCGATTTACGCTGACATGGACCGGTTTCTCTCATGAGAAAATAATAATTCTACCAATCGTATCGTCGTTTGTCCAGGGGGACTCTCAGAGGCATATAGGTTCTCAACATGATATAGTCAAACTTATCACAGCCTTCCATAACTCAATAATTGCTTTAAAAGACCAAGAACGAGCTTGCTCAAAAAATCAGTACCCTAAACGGGCGACGAATTGAGGCGCATTCACAATTTTTCATTGTCACTCAACTGCTTCGGGTCATCAGAAAGTACGGAAGAAAAGAGTGGGTTGCGGTTGTTTAAGCTCTTGGCTTTGAGTGGTATGTGTTTCAGCAGGGATTTGCTGAAAGTGCATTTGAAAGTGTTTTCGACTGATTCTCTGATGAAGCGCTCGTAAACTGAGAGAAACTTAATTCTACAAACGTCCTGCCAAGAATGAGGAGAACTTTTCGACAATTTTTATTGAAAAGATTTGAAGCATTTTACCTTTTTTACCAACAAGGTCAAAGGTGAATGACTTGTCAACGAAGGCCAAATAAACATTGTGTCTCCATGGAGGAGGGTGATAGTGTGGGGACCCCAGGCATGCTTTATAATAATTGCTGGTTCGATACGCTCCTTGACGAGTACTTCTTACTTGAGTTCCGAGTAGAAAAATTGGACAACGAATGCCAAAAACAGCTCGATATAAACTTTGTGGAGCACTGGAAGGTCCGGAATACAAGACATGCCTTCTCGGTCAGCTTCGTAGTGGAATAAGATGGATAGACTAAGAAGAAACCAGATGCCGGTGTTCTTTTTTAAATCTTGATTTGTAATATATTCCTGATCACTTTCATTGTGAGTGATAAAGATGTTTACCGAGTGGCATATGTCAGGAGTGTCTATAAATACGGGGTCGTCTTTTATTAAAGAGAAGGTGCCAGTTCTTGAACGATTAAATTGTAGCGTTAACATCTGTTTTGGCTCCTTTCAGGAGGGCAACATAAAATAGACTGTGGCTAGAAAGCGCAGAAAGCGTAGATTAGAACGAATCGATCCTAAAGTGCGGCCGGTGCAGAATAACGAGTTGATACGACTCATTCGCGTACTCAATATAGTGTAGGGTATCTCCTGGAATCGAGTCTGCAGAACTGCGAACTCAGTCAAATTCCACTGGGAATTCAGAAAGTACTATGTACGACATAAATCTTCGTTTGTCACGCTGAGGGAAATCATTGCTGTTTTGAGAATATCAAGTTGTTGGTAGCGGGCATTCTTCAGATGACGCCTCAGAATGCGTTCTATCGCCCTGCACGGTACACTAGTGCTGATAACAAGCCATCTACCGAGCTTTTAGCGGTCGCAGGTTTGTAGATTGGAGATAGACTAACCTAATCCCGCAACGATGCGGGTGCCTTCCTCGGGCGACCAGGAACATGAATTAGAAATATTCCACAATCCCAGCGACGTGTATTATAAGGTCTGTGGGCATACTTTTTCTGGTCCAAACACGCCAGAGGAGTTTGTTTTGTGTAAGAGTTGACGAAGAACTTCCTTCTAAAAGACAGAGTAAGTTGGAGATTTTTGGTAGTTGCGCTTGGTCAGGTTTGTGAAGTTGATGGGGTAGGATACTTCCCTGCATAATTTTTCATATTGGCGCCAGACAACTTAACTTGGTGGAAAATTGGTTCGCCATTTCTGCCGCTGAAGGTGGAAGCGGTATGCTTTTTTCGGTACTTCGAGTACCCAGAGGACACCGTTTTGTTTTTTGGGAGAAATCTGGTGCGGTAGCTAGTGTCCGCACGTCTTTTTGGGGGGCTTATGTTCCACAGCAGTTCCGCACCTTAAGAAATGCCTGCTTGTCTTCCAAGTTAACTGCAGAGTTCTTTCTGAAGAATATATGGGACCATAATTCCGGGAGCCGACGACTCTCTTAGGGTGGCTTTAGGTCTACCAGACCGGTTACTTTGCGATTACTACCGCTCCGCAAAATTTTTGAACACTGTCCGTCCACCGAAGCGTGTCCAATTTCAAGTTAGCCAAAGCATATGGGAATTCATGAGAGTTTTACTCGGCAGAACTTTGAAATCCGCTTTCATAGTTCTGAGCTTTTGGCTCATCAACAGATCAACAGGTAAAATCAAAAGTCAACAGGCACCGGTAATTATGTTCAGGGCGGGACTTGCTTAACACATGAGTAAGGAAGTGTACTTCTTTGATGAATTCCAGATTCGCTAGGGATGGTGGTTGGTCTGCGCGGTTTCTGGTGGGAAGGCTAACATGCTGCGTGCAAGCGCTCTGTTGAACGACAAGTTAGTGGTGATGCAAAATTTTTATAAGACTTGGTGCATTGAAACTCAACCCAGGACTTCTTGGGAACATAAAAATAGCCCACGACCAAAAGATGCGTGAAGTGGTGAGCGATTGACCCTTTTCCGGTGGGCTCAAAGGGTATCGTTAGATGACGTCGAGATGGAGCAAAACGACATGATTCAGCGGATTCCGAATGCACGGTGCGTCACCAAAAGCTTCAGGAGTGATACCAGAGGTGCACACAGGGGTGGGTATGGCCGCGTTGAAGTGTGCGGGTACCCTTTGTTCATCATTCGTTTTAGGTCAAGCCAGAAAAAGGAGTATCCGAGTACCGAAATTTCATCACCAAACATTCTGCGAGCCAGATCTCCAAAAATGCGATTTTGGACGATCGTACACGGCAAGCGACCGTTGAAAATCGAAAGTTTTAGAAAACTGGAGCAGATTGAAGTAGAGGGATGCTGCGCCATCGAAAGGGCTGAATTCCAAGGCTTCCACGGGGGTTATGAATCCAATATGATCTCATTCATTTACTTACTCCGCCAGCGTGATTTTGATTTCCACTTGTTTCGCTTATTCTCAACCACCACTTACGTTGTAGTAAAGGCCACCCCGTCCGAAACTGGTTTATTGGCATATGCCTGTGTGAATGTTGGCAGCTGACCTAATTACCTATACACGTTGTGGCGTTTTGTACATTTATTTTGGTTCCGTTATAACAGTACGTATTTCGTCAATTGCATAAGCGCTTTTTGTTAGAATACGAAAAACTACAAAAACGCGCACGTGTACAATTTAACAGAATACAAGCATGGTCACGTGCTTCGACTCTCCCTTCTGAATTCGCTCGCGCTTGCAGAGGCCATTCGTGAGTCTCGTGTGTTAACTCTCGTATCAAAACATTTCATACCATTTTTGGAGTCTATTATATGTGGGAACTGTTCGAAAGAAGACCCCTGGACCACCACAATTGGATTATTGTGTATTCGCTGACCTGAGCAAACGACGAACAATTTCAAAGAGAATAATTATTAGTGAGTCTGTTCCATCTGATCTCTTCAATACTGTTTACCCAACCTAGTGTTATTCTCCTTATTTCTTTGCCACACACTCCTGGTAAAGTAACTTATTGGGTGGCCAGACCACTACAACGTTCATGTTCCGCTCGCTGAGCTTGTTTTCTCGTGAGCCCCGCGTGGTCGCGCCGTCAATCAGAACCATGGGACCGTCGTCGGAATAGGAGACCGCAACCCTCACCAGTGAGTGAGCGTTCCATTCACCACTATTTGCTGTGCGAACTTTCAAACTGCGCTTTTCCGGTCAGTGACGGATTTGTGAATTTGTTTATGCTGTGAGCGTGAAGCATTGTGTTTTGTATAAAATATGTATAAAATTGCTCACCCTGGTTTAATAACCGCCTGAATCTTTAAACCCGGATTCTTCCATTAGATAACCGGGGAGTCGAACCTACGTGCCACTCAAAGTTCCGTATTTGGAAACTCACTGCGGTCTCTGAGGCTTGCTTGATGCCTTCCAACTTTGATGCTTCTGGGGCCATTTGCACATTTGTGGGGTGTTGCCTAATTCTTCGTTTATGTCCTTAGCGGTCTGTCCTCCCTAGGTTGAAAAATTTTGGCGTTGATGCAGGTAGCTCCCACGGGTTCACGCTTTTGACTACTGACCCGCCATGGGTCATGTCTTGTTTGGCTGGTGTGGCTTTCAGAGGTAGTGTTTCTGTGAAACCATGCCTGTTTGCTTTTCTATTGGATGGATTCATCAAGAAGCGTTGCTGCTAGTGGCACCCCCAGGAGACTGATATTCTCATATGGGTGTCTTGAACTCAACAAATGTTCTAACGGGAGGTGCCTTATCTGTCTTATCGGATCGCGGTCTATTTACTTTCGTGTTTGCAGGGACATCAATATCGTCCCCGATCAGCGTGGCCATCTCGTTTTACGTAGGATATTTACGCACACTGTTGTCGAATGTTTTGGCTTAGCACTCATGGCCACGAGTGACCACTGGATCCACAATCAGACTAGCCGCATTCGATGGAGAAGAGTTTTCGATCGGATAACCCCTCACTAAGTGAACGCTTGTTCCGTACTTCCCCTGTAGACCCGACGGAACTTTTGCGCCACTAGCCGGCGATCGTCGGATGTATGTCTGATATGTGGAAGGGCTTTTAGGATGCTTGTGTACTCCACCAAGTTCTCCCGTACGACCGTTGGACAGGAGCATGTAGATACATATCAGAAAGCTTGCCTGCTTCCCTTTTTATTCGACCATTTTCGCCAAGGGACACATATTCAGACCTTTAAGGGATATCTCCACGGGGAAATGTTGCCCCTTTTACTATTTCGTTGTTATGGACGACTAACCCCAAGATGAGCATCTTGGAATTCCGCATTCTCCTGCCTATTGATGACGCCATGGCTGTTTAAGTGTGGTATCAGATTGTTGGATCAACTTCCTTGCACCGGCTAACATGGGATGTGGGCGCTATCTAGCGTCGAGAGAGAAATGCAGTTGTCGACCCCTTTAAAGGCCGCTGTGTTCTTTATGTTTGCATCCACAAAGCTTTTGAAGGAAGTATTGGCATTCCCTGTGATGTTCTGACAATTGTCTTTCCGACTTGGAAGTTCAGTCTTGTTTTCGTTGTCGGGGGGTGTCTTGTTGTTTCTGGAATACAAAGCGCCCGTGTGGTACAGGTACTCGGCAAAAACACAATGGTCGAGGGAGTTGGAAACGCGGCTTACCTGTTCACCATAAAGTTCCCCCATACCTTCAGGCGTGATGTGGATTTTCAACTGGTTCATCCACATTTTTCTGATTAGCTGATAGCGCCAGTGGAGCGAAGCCCGTTGCAGTCTGCCTAATTATTGCTAGCAAACTGATTTACAGCGAAAATTGATTTACACTCGAAAAAGAATCGTCCAAACACTGGTTATACCTAAGCGACCGGTAAGAAATTGCAAGTCAGCTGTTTTGTGACCTTGGAATTTTGCCCACCTAAACAAAATGTTCTGGACGACATTTCACCGGAACATGCAAAAGGATTAGCCTAACTCCCCGTAAAAACCACGGCTTCGAATACCCAATAGCTTAGGCAAAAATGATTTAGGTGTACTTCTAGTGGGCGGGATGAAAAATTCAGGCCATCGGGAAATCCCGAACGCACGCTACACATAGGCTTATCAACCTTTGAGTAAGATCCGAAGTCGACCTTTTCATGGAACGCCACACACTTGGAGATTGCGATACGGTGTTTTGTGTTGAACACTGTGGAATAATTTTCGGAAGCCGAAAATTTTGCGTCTGGCGAGTTTCTCGCCCGCTGAGCTGTCAGCATTGTAACTGGCCGTTGGCTTGTTCGGTGGGCTGGACAAGTTGATTGCAAACGTTTCATCACCAATCGAGGTGACATCATCAGTGCGTTATTGGGGAGCATAGTGGTGCGCAGCAATCTGATATCTCCAGCTCAACACGGATTGCTCCCAAACAGCTCTTGCGTGACAAACATGCTCGTGTTTATGGACAGCTTAACCCAAGCCAAGGACGGAGGACTCATATCGGATGCCATATTTTTCGGATTCTCAAAAGCATTTGATAGGGTCCCACACGTCCCGCTGCTCCACAAACTCGAGTCTTACGGGATTCAAGGGAAAATCCTTCGCTGGATCAAGGCGTTCCTATCAGACAGATCATTCCGAGTGAGAATAGGCTCGACCTATTCCTCTCCAGCGCCGGTCTCCATTGGAGTTCCTCAAGGCTCCGTCTTGGGACCACTCCTGTTTCTGATCTACGTCAACGACCTCCCAGACGTTCTTGCGAGTCCATGTTTACTTTTTGCGGACGACTTGAAATCCTGGAGTTCCAATGCCAGTGACCTCCAAATGGATGTAGACGCTGCCAAGCAGTGGTCGTTGGACTGGCACCTTCCTCTGAATGATGAAAAGT